GATTCCCGCTCACGACCACCACCACCACCACGAGTGATAATTATCGAAACCTGGTCCTGACATGAGCACCCGGTGTAATGTGTAAACATCGCCGCTGGGCAAGCAAAGGCGGCCAGGCGCGGTGGTGGTCACCCACTTGCCCCAACAGTCTGTGCATGCTCCACGGGGTGATCTCTGTCCTGTCAATGTTTGCGTGACTGTGAGCGAGCACGCGTCTTACGCCGTATACAGATGCCACGGTGGCTAGGAGATGTTAACTCCCTCGCCTGGTGTGCAGGAGGTCGTGGGTTCGATCCCGACCATGACGCCTGCTGCTGCTGTATATTTGGAGTTTGCGTGTTCTCCCCATGTTGGCGTGGATTTTTCTACGCGTCCTCCGGTTTTTCCCTCCACATTGAGAAAGATGAGTTTGTGGTATTTTGGCTGCTTTGCATTTCTCCGTGATAAGTCACTTCGTTGAGCTATCATTTGTGGTCAGGCCGCCTCTGAAAAATAGCTGTATAGCTCAGTGGGCCTTACCTGGTAAAATAAAAAAAATAGTTGAGTAGTTAAACGTGACCGCCGGAGAAGTTTCTGCCAAATGGCAAAAACCTCTCCGGCGTTTCATCAAAGTCATTCCTTCCCGCCAAGTTTTTGGCGGAAAAAGAGCCCCGTGTGGAAACTAACGTCTCCTTCTCCACATATCCACGTGAAGAAAAAAAAAATCTTACTTTTTCTTGTTGTTGTTGTTGTTCTTGTACACATCCCATCACCAAAAGTCTGGACCGGTTTCGACACACCGTGGTTTCATCAGCAGTGCGGCTTGCTTCCACCGGTGTTGGTGAACTGCCGTCTCAGACGTGAACTTCTCCCCCTACAATTACGAGTGGCGGTGACGCGCTCGGCCTCGCGGTGCCGCGGTCGCCGCCTGATTGCAGAGGTTCGCGGTTCGCATCAGGCAGGCGGCCCTGACGAATATTGCCGGTGTATTATTTAGAGTAAAAACTAAAAAATACTTACGACGTGCCGTATTCAGAGCGGACGCTAAAGGTCCTGCGACGTCATTCGCAAGAGTAGGCCATTGTGTGCTGAGGTCAACGGTCCAAATTTGGCAAATTTGAAAGAAAGAAAAAACCTGCAAATGATACCTACTCAGTTGCGTTAAACACTGCGGTCGGCAACCAAACTAACAATAAGATAAAAAAAATCGAATTCGGTAAAAAAAACCCTCTGTATTTAAAGAGCCGCAATGCACTTTGTGGTGAATACGAAACGTGGTCCTCCATAAATAACGTCACGAAGCAGCCTTTAAAGAGCCGCATGCGGCTCTGGAGCCGCAGGTCGCCGACCCCTGGGTTAACAGTATCAATTGCATCGTCCCCCCCTCCCCACAACTGGCAGACTAATGCACAGGTACAGCTGCCACTGGAGGGGGGGGGGTGCCATAGGCTAAACCACAAAGCGAGTATCAGAGGTCGCAAACGGGTTTTGATTCCTTACCCGTACCCGTACCCGGCCGCACCAGGGTCGCAAATGGGTACCCGTACCTTACCCGAAATGAGTGATAAATGGTTACTCACCAGTGACTCACGGCCTACCCGTACCCGGCCGCACCAGAGTCGCAAACGGGTACCCGTACCTGACCGGGTACCCGACCGGGTACGGGTAGCCGGGTATCGGGTAGGGTACGGGTATCGGGTACCCGGTTGCGACCTCTGGCGAGTATCCTCGAGGTTGGGGCAATTGTTGTTGGTGGTGGTGGTGGTGCTGCCTGGCGGACTTGCAGCTTCGCTGTCGTACGGCCCCATCCGCACGAGGCAGGTGGTCGGCGTGAGTCGTCACCTCGCGGATGTTCTGACCAATTCCCCAGTTGCAGACGAGACGTCGTCAGTGTCTCACGCGTTCTCACCCGGTTGAACTAAACAAATCTGCACTTGAAATACCTTTGACGGGCAACTTCACGTTAACAAAGATCGCCCCTGTGTAGCCTTAACAGACTATTCTTAGGTTTTTTTCGGTAAAGTCACGTAGGTAAAAAAATTAAATTAATAAAAGTAAAATAAAATTTAAATTAAATAAAAATCACGACGTTTCGGAGGCAACACAAGCTTCCGTCTTCAGACTGTTGGTGCTGTTAGCGAGCACCTATTAAGAGCGGAATGGCACACGATGGGGTGGGTGACCACCGTTACGCATTTGTCTCTCTAGTGGCGATGTTTGCACACTGCTTTTAGGTACTAATTTGAGGCTGAGTCTACCTAGGGGAAGTCCAGGACTGGTTAAAATAATTGTCAGCAGCATTGGACCGTGAGCGGGAATTTAACTGGGACCACCAGGTTCGTAGCGCCGCGTGATAACAGCTACACTACCACTCCCCAGAACCCTAACCACAAACACAACCCCAACCACAACTCTAAGCCCAACCACAATCCTAACCACAAACATAACCCTATCTCCAAACACAATCCTAACCATAAACACAAAACCTACACACATGACACAAAATCCTGGTTTCCCTGACACGGAACCGCACACCATAATTACACATCACACCTCACCACCATCACACCATCTCCACGACTACTGCAACCACCACCACCACACCACAACCCTCTCCCATCCCCACCACTACCACCGCACCACCACCAACACAACTACACACCTCTATAACTCCCTCCACTACATCACTCCACATCTCACCACCGCAAACACCACCCCCACACACACCTCACCACCACCACCCCCACACACACACACCTCACCACCACCACCAACCACCACCCCCACACACACACACACCTCACCACCACCCCCACACACACCTCACCACCACACACACCACGACCACCAACCACCACCACCACCCCCACACACACCTCACCACCACCACCACCGCCGCACATGTGCCCTGGAGGAGTCACGTGCTTTGTTGTCGCCCCTAGGGGGGCAGGCTCCGTTTCCGCACCCTCCCCGCTCCCTGCTCTGACAATGCGACCACCCCCACCGCTCCCTCCTCTCCCCTCCCCCTCGTTCCTCGTCCACCCTCGGGCCCCCCACCCCACGCCCCCCACCCCACGCCCCCCACCCCCAACCATCGCCACGGGTCCTCGCTGAGCCCCCGACATACGGGGTTCTGAGATCCGAGCGCAGACACTCGTGACTGGCCCAGACATTCGCTCGGGTGTTCAATTAGAACTCTTCCTCGCCACCAGCCAATCCACCCCTCCAGCCGTCTTTAACGTCCCTTCATTCGTGTGCTATTATGCACTCCCAGAAAGGCATGCAGCTGATGGGATGTGTAAAGACATCTACTTGACATTTATATTTTAACGTGAAAGCACAGATATGCGAAGAAGACGTCAGTCTGCTTAATCTGTTTAAGTTTCCACAAGGGGCGATTTGAGCAGATCTTCACCTATTACGATGAGTTCACACTCCTAGAGCGCCGTGTGGCTGATGTGATGTGTACAAAACACTTTAATTGTTTTACATGGAGGGGCATTACATACGGTATAGATATAAACGATTGCCTCGTGTCCGGCCCACCGAGGGTCACTTCAACTCAGGTCGACTCTGCCCCTGTGACCGGAACGCCTGGAGCGTGACCGCGTGACCGCGTGGCATGTGGCAGGGAGTGGGGGGGGGGGCATAAATAAACTCCGGGGGGGGGGGCACGACGACACAGTGCAGTGCACGTCAAATGCACTTTAAACAACAAACCCTAAACGCTGAACAGAGCGAGTAGCGAGCACTGCGGTCCGCTCGTGTCTCACTGCCTGACCCAGAGAGGCTGCAACCCCCCCCCATCACTCCCCGTCCCTCCAACTCGTGTAGACAAATGGGCGATATAGAACGGGTCGCTGAGGGGTGGCTGAGCCTTCGACAGGAGAGGGGAGGGGGGGGGGTGAGCCCCCTGAAGCTTCACCCCACCCACCACCAAAACCCTCACACTTCGTTAAATCAGAATAAATACGCAGCAAAAATTCGCCCCTTTCACCCATCTGTCCCGTCGTATGAATGAATAATTTAATAAGCGCATATGTTTTAAGCATCTCATCAGCCGCATGTGTGGGAGTGCATAATTTCGGGAGCATTGGTTCAACACAAGCAGAATTTAACTCTCAAAACGGTTTGGATATTCAGTGTCTCATCAGCAGATTTTGGCCCTGACCAGATGTTGACATTGCAAGGGATCGCGACCATTGTATTGACCTGGACTTTACCGTTCGGTACGCACATTATTTGGCGATGCTGCTGCGTCGGCGGCGGCGCACAGGCGCAAACAACAGCACAAAACGACTCGACGCCTCCGTCAATAACGACGCTTTGTGGCCTCAAAAGGGTGAAAAGATAGCTTCAGCTGAAGGGAGTTTACGACGACGAGATAGGGCTCTTGGTTCGACCCCCCCGTCTGATGGTGGCGTCAGGTCAAACACAGGGGTCAGTGCCTCGATTCTGTGTGAGCACCTGGACTTGAATGTCCCCGGCGTCGTGAGGCACGTGGTGGCTTTGGGTGGCGATGCTCTCGACGGTCTCATCGAAGCTTCCTGTGCAGCGTTGCTCCGCACGAGAGTTGTACTACGTATGTTGCACTTCTCTCACGCCGTACGTAGCCAACCGTGATAATCGGAAGTGCAGCGGCAGGACAACAAACTAAACACAACAAAAACTGTTGTAAACAAACTAGTTTTTAATCTAGATGATGTAAAAGTACATAGCTCCAGTGGCTTCCTAATAATGGAAGTGCGTTCCAAACGGCCGCAGAAGCGCATCTGAAAGAGCGCGATGCGGTGGCCATCTTTGTGTCAATGGCCAGCCAAAAGCCACACGCTGTGAGGGCGACCAGAGTTTGCGTGATGGTTTATGCTCCTTGACGAGTTGCCGATGATGCGTTCCGCCGTTTGGTCACCATCACCGCAGTCACGTGAGTGGACTGATCTCTGGTCTTCAGCATCTGTACGAAGTAAGGTCACATTAGGTGGTCGCTCTGCCCCCCCCCCCCGCCCCGCCCCGTCTGACAGGTCGGCACACATCTCTCGTCTCCCCCCCCCGTGCAAGCTCCCCCCCCCACCCCCCCTGCTCGGGGCCCATCATGGAGAGCGCCATCACGCTGTGGCAGTTCCTGCTGCAGCTGCTGCTGGACCCGAGGCACGAGCAGCTCATCCGCTGGACCTCGGCGGACGGGGAGTTCAAGCTGCTGCAGGCGGAGGAGGTGGCGCGCCTGTGGGGGCTGCGCAAGAACAAGACCAACATGAACTACGACAAGCTGAGCAGGGCGCTCAGATACTACTACGACAAGGTGGGGGGGGGGGGATACGGGGACACGGTGACAGGGGGACACGGTGACAGGGGGACACGGTGACAGGGGGACACGGTGACAGGGGGACACGGTGACAGGGGGACACGGTGACAGGGGGACACGGTGACAGGGGGACACGGTGACAGCGGGACACGGTGACAACTGTAAACACACTGCGTGCCGTCTGCTTCACTCACAGCGAACGTTAAAGATCCCTGTGTCGTCGTTTACAAGAGTAGACCATCGTGTGCCGGGGCCGTGGTGTAATGATAACTGGGGCAGCCGTCGGGCTAGAACCACGAACGTCGGCCGCAAACAGCGAACGCACTAACTCGGGCCACACGGCATCGTCCCGACCAGGCTCTACCCCCGCTTAGCTTCCCCAGATTCAGAGCCATTTGGCTATTTGGTCGTGAGTTGCTCCCTAACTCCCCACGTGTGCTCCCCCTCCCCCATGCTCCGCAGAACATCATCAAAAAGGTGAATGGACAGAAGTTCGTCTACAAGTTCGTGTCATTCCCCGACACCATGAAGGCCGACGGCCTGCAGGGCCGTGCCTGCGGGGTCAACGGCGGGGTCAGCGGCGGCGGCGGTGACCTCTCACCGAGGCCTCTCACCGGGAGCCAGGGCCCCGAGCCAGCTTCCGGCGACTACCGCACGCTGCCGCCCGCACCATTCATCAAGGCCGAGCCGTGCAGCCCCACGCCTGCCCAGCAACGGCAGCTGCTCGACGAAAATGATGACGACGACGATGAAGAGGAGGAGATGGGTGCAGAGGACGAGGACGACGATGAAGACGTGGACCGCGATGAGGAGGAGGACGACGACGATGAGGAGGAGGAGATGTCTTTGTTGTCGTCGGCAATGGCGTACCGCGTGGGCCCGCTGGGCCGGGCCCTGGCCGGAGGCCTCCACCCGGCGCTGGCGCTCTACGCTCTCAAGAGATCCGGGGGGACCCTGCGCGCGGTCAAGAGCGAGGGGTTCGACGGCCCCTGCAGGACGGTGGTCTCCCAGCAGCAGCACCACCACCACCACCAGCACCACCACCAGCACCACCACCAGCAGCAGCAGTGGCACCAGCAGCGGCAGCAGCGACTGCCGGAAGCTCCCGATGACGACGAGCAACCGCTAAACCTGAAGGTGCAGAGGGGTCCCGTGCAGCCGCGTGGTGGTGGCAGCGGTGGCGCCGCCTCCGCGGGGGTCATCGTGTCGCCAGCGGCATCCGGGGGCCGCGCCAAGGCCCGACCGCTAGGCCTCGAGCTTGCGCCGCACGCTCAGCTGCTGCTGCATGCGCAGGGCGGGGACGCGGGCCCCCCACACAGCCCCTCGCTGCAGCCCCTGCTGTGCGGGGCCCTTGCGCAGGGCTTCTACGGCCCCAACGTGAGTGGAGGGGCCCTGGGCCCCAAAACACCCTCCTGACCTCGCCTGACCTCGCCCAACCCGCGTGACCTCTCCTGATCTCTGCTCGTTACATAAAATGCACTGATGCATCTCGACCCCACATGACCCCACGTCGTCTCGTCCTACCCCTCCTAGTCCCTGCTGACCCCCGTTGAACCCTGTTGACGCTTTCTGACTCCTGCTGTTCTCTGTCTGCTCGTGACCCCACCTGACTTCTCCTGAGCCCTCTTGACCCCCTCTGACTTCTGATCTCACCTGACCCTACAGCGCCTCATTTGACAATACCAATGCCGGTGGCTTCCTTGACCATCTCTTTACCCCCTTTCTGGCCCCGTCCATTTCCCTCTGACCCCACTTGACCCCTCATGGTCCCTGCTGATCCCCGCTTAATCTTTCTCGACCCCCCTCCCCCTCTCCTGATCCAGCATAAATCCCTCGCTGGTGTGGGGCCCGCGAGTGCTAGCGCACGTCTCAGAAGCAAGGGTTGTGGATCACAAAGATATCTGTGAATACCCAAAGCTATGAGATGCCCAGTAAACATACAAACGTTGGGCCAACGTCAGTTGACATTGGACCAACGTTAGCCCAACGTCAAACAACGTCCAACCTACTATGATCCAACGTCCCACCAACGTTCAACCAACGTTGGCCCACATTTAACCAACGTTGCTCAACGTTATCCCAACGTCAAACAACGACCCAAAACGTTGCGTGCAAGTGAGCATCAGAGGGCAGTGCAGCAAAAGTGCCTGTTGTACTGCACTGCTGTGCTCCCCACCTTCCCTAACCCGCACTGACCAGCGTGAAGTATGGTCAAGTCAAATAACCCTGGTGGAGAGGAGGAGGCTTTAATCTCTATTGGTGACCCTCAGCTAAAATTGACTGATGCACCTTGACCCTGCCTGTGGAAATTCCACGTTTTCATGACGGCTGAGAGAGGGGGGGGGGGGTGGGGCGTTTAGTGTCGTCCATACGTATGACGGCGACCTCTGTTCGGATCCAACAAAGTGGTAGTGGTTTTAGCCGCGGCGGAGGGATGATGGTTTTGTGGATGTGTGTCCCTCAGACCTCGGTGCTGCTCACGCCAAGTCCGCTGCTGCCCTCGCTGCACTTCTGGAGCACGCTGAGCCCCCTGCCCCCACGCAGCCCCGGGGGGCGGCTCACGGGTTCGCACCTCGCCTTCCAGGTGGGTCACGTCACCATCTCCGCCAACATCGTCGTCTCCACCACCATGGTCATCTCCACTACCATCGTCATCACCACCACCATGGTCATCTCCACCACCATCGCCATCTCCACCACTATCGCCATCTTCACCACCATGGTCATCTCCACCGCCATGGTCATCTACACCACCATCGCCATCTCCACCACCATCTCCACCACCCTCGTCATCTCCACCACCATCGCCATCTCCACCAACAGGTCATCACCACCACCATGGTCATTTCCACCACCATCGCCATCTCCACCACCATCTCCACCACCCTCGTCATCTCCACCACCATCGCCATCTCCACCAACAGGTCATCACCACCACCATGGTCATTTCCACCACCATCGCCATCTCCACCACCATCTCCACCACCCTCGTCATCTCCACCACCATCGCCATCTCCACCACCAGGTCATCACCACCACCATGGTCATTTCCACCACCAAGTCATCTCCACCACCACGGTCATCTCCACCACCATTGTCATCTACACCACCCATGTCATCTCCACCAACATCGCCATCTTCACCACCATGGTCATCTCCACCACCAGGGTCATCTCCACCACCATCACCATCTCTACTACCATCGCCATCTCCACCACCAGGTCATCTCCACCACCAGGGTCATCTCCACCACCATCGCCATCTCTACTACCATCGCCATCTCCACCACCATCGCCATCTCCACCACCAGGTCATCTCCACCACCAGGGTCATCTCCACCACGAGGTCATCTCCACCACCATGGTCATCTCTTCCACCATGGTCATCTCCACCACCAGGTCATCTCCACCACCAGGTCATCTCCACCACCATCGTCATCTGTACCACCATCGTCTATACTTTATTGTATTTGCTTTATTTGCTTTTGACACTTGTGGTGAATGAGACTCCATCCCAAACGCGACTCCATCCTGATCTCCTGAGTGCTCACTGGGTTAAGCAAAACCCCACTTGAAAACCTGCTCTCACATCGTTCACCATTGCAACTGGTAGGCCCAGTGAATCTATCATCACAGTTACGCGCTGAGTATCGTTTACTCGCAGTCCTGTGGTAACGTTACGCTATGCGTCTCTCTCCTCCCCCTCCCTCCCTCCTCCTGCCCCCCCTCCCCCCAATTCCCCCCCCCTCGCCCCCACCCCCAGTTCCCTCCCCTGGGCGCTGCCCCCCTGCTCGGCCTCCCCATGCCAGGAGTAGACGGGGGCCCGGGCTCCCTGCTGGTGGCTCACGGCTCCCAAAAAGTGTGACTGAACCGCACCTGGCCACACCTGGACAGGGCGTGGGGGAGGGGAATGGGGAACGAGGGGGGGGGGGGCTCCGCGGAGGGCAAGGAATTGAGGGGGGCACGACATCAGCCCCCTTCCTCACCACCCCGTCTGTTTGGAGGCGCTTGATTTTGGGTGAATTGCACTCCCTCTCGCTGTCTCCCTTTAGCACCCCACTGCCTCGTCCCACCCCAGACACGCACATTCGACCCCCCACTCCACCACCTCATTGGTCTTTGCCACCTCAATAAGGAAGGGGGGCGGGTGGTGAGGAGTGGGAGGTGACAATGGGGTGCTCGATTTCCCCACCCCCCAACCCCCAAATTGGCCCGGACTGTGGTTTCCCTCTGCGCACGAACCACTGTCTAAATGTGGGTCGGAGAATGATGATGGTGGTGGTGCTGATGGTGCTGCTTGTGATGATGCTGATGATGATTTGGCCGACGACGTTGCTCGGTGCTAAGTGGGACTCGCTCTCTCGTCTCATCATTCTCGGAGTCTTCGTCTTACGCTCATGTGACTTGCGCAAATGCAGCTCAGAACAACATTCTTATGAAACGAAAAGAAGAATCATAATAATGATGGATTTTGGAATCGAATCACGAACCGAAATCTAATTTGAATACGTGGCAGTCAATCGCATCGCTGGGGTGGGGGACAGTGGTGAATTGTATTACTTCCCTGTGATTAGACCAATGACCCCACTACTGCATTTGGGGGCATTTGGGGGGGGGTGTAGTTGGGGGGCAGCTAAGGGCAGCTTCAGAGCAGTCATGGCCCAAATGTTCCATATTTGGCTGTCTCGTGGCAAGTTCTGTCAGCACACACACACAGACACATGGCCCAGCCGCTTGTTGCAGAGGTTTGCGGTTTGAATCCGGCAGGCCACCCTGACTAATACTAAGGATGTATTAACCATGACAATACCACGTGCCCAGCCGCTTGTTGCAGAGGATGAGGTTTGAATCCGGCAGGCCACCCTGACTAATACTAAGGATGTATTAACAATGACAATACCACGTGCCCAGCCGCTTGTTGCAGAGGTTTGCTGTTTGAATCCGGCAGGCCACCCTGACTAATACTAAGGGGTGTATTAACCATGACAATACCACGCGTTGTCTGCTTCACAGTGGACACTAAAGATCCCGTGACGTTATTCGCAAGAGTAGGCCATTGTGTGACGGTGTCACGGTTCAAATTTTTAACAAATGACACCCCCGAGTTACTCAATTTGAATCTACGTCGCCAATCATCGTTGCCTACAGCGAATACTTGGCAAGACCCTCCGTGAGAGTCAGAGAGGCTTTCTTGGGTTAACCAAGTGGAATGGTAGATTTTTTATGTATATTAAACAATATAAAAAAAAAATTTAACCAGGTAAGGCCCACTGAGTTATATATCTTCTTTTTCAGAAGCGACTTGGCAACAAATGATATCTGAACGAAGTGGCTTATCGCGTGGATATTTATAGCAGCCAAAATCCGGAGGCCCTGGAGAAAAATCCACACGACCAAAGGGAGAACATGCAAACTCCAAATATACAGGCATCAGGGTCGGGATCGAACCCACGACCTCCTGTATACCACGTGGGGTAATAATCGATTGAGGCAGAGTAGAGGTATCTAGCAGGGCCCAGCTGTACCACGAAAAATACAATGAGACCTTTATCATCATTAGCATCATCATCAACAACAGCAGCAGCAATGTTATTGTTATATGCAAGTGAATATTTTATATGCAGTACTAAAACTTGTTTTTTTTTACAATGTAAATATATACAATCTCGACTCTTTTGTATTCGACAATGTTTATACGAATATTTTTGTACAGGAATATCTCTGAATTTAAAGTTGATTGTGCGTGTGTTTTTAACAGGGGAGTTGCTCGGCAGCATTGATGACGTCGTCACTCCCGTTGTTGTTGATGTTGTTGATGTTGTTGCGAGTCGGAGATAACCAGGTTCCGTAGTAGTTGTTGGATACAATGAGGAACCCCCCCCCCCCCCACAACTCAAACTCGAGCTGCCACCCCCTCCTCCCCCCTCCCCCACCTCGTCTACAGCGGCCACGTGGAAGTCAGTCGCTCACTTCACAATCAAATCAATTTGTCAATCACGAATCGTGCCGAATATCTAAAGCCATGGGGAGGGGGGGGGCTGTTTATCCACCGGAGGAGAACAAAATAAATCGAATAGATTTTTGTGTTAATGTCCAAATTCCGGAAGAATCCGCACACCCGTTGGGGAAACAAACCCGTCGCCGCTTTGCGCCCGAAAATCGGCGGGGGGAAAAAGAAAATGTTTCCGTTCAACAAAAAAAGTCCCCACCAAATGCGTCGCTTTACGACTAAAATCGGTGGAAAATCCTCGCGCTCCCACCGCCACCACGGGCAGCGCGCGGTGACGCGGGCGGGGGGAGGTCGTCGCTCCCTCTCTTCACCTGGGTTTGGAGTCGAACTTTGACGGCGCGTGCGGGGGGGGAGGAGAGGGGTGGGTGGGCGAGGGCTGCTGGGCAGACCCCGCGCGGGTGTGTTTGTGTGTGTGAGTGTGTTTGTGTGTGTGAGTGTGTTTGTGTGTGTGAGTGTGTTTGTGTGTGCGAGTGTGTCTGTGTGAGTGTGTTTGTGTGTGAGAGTGTGTTTGTGTGTGTGTTTATGTGTGAGAGTGTGTTTGTGTGTGTGAGTGTGTTTGTGTGTGCGAGTGTGTTTGTGTGTGTGAGTGTGTTTGTATACGTAGTGAGAGGTGGGGGTCTACCATCAGCCACACTAAAATCAAGCACCTGCCTGGATATTTTGTATCATCCAATAGAGTACTCAGCCCCCTCAACACCCAATGAGTGATGGGGCAGTTGTGCAAAGACTGGAGACGTTTTCCGACCTGGGTAATGATCAACTCCGGTTTGGCAGCAGAGGTCTCACTCCGAATGCTGTTTGGAAGCTACGTGGTCTGTCGCTCCACACGAAGCTCCGGGTCTTCTCGACCACAGCCATGCCCTCCCTTCTCTTTGATTGTGGAACGTGGAACCCCTCTAATGGAAACATCTGCGCCGGTTTGAAACTTTGAGGCTGACCTGCCTGCGATCCATCATGGGTTTAACCAGGCTGCATTATGTGAGGAGCTCACAAATCTTTAAAAGATCTGGACACATTTCCATCAGTGAGTTTCTCAGACGGTCAAGGCTGCGTTGGCTGAGTCATGTCGCCCGCATGCCCAGCCACTCATCCCCAAGTAGCTTCTGTTTGGCCAGATAGAGGGGGCTGAAGAGGCACGACACGGGCTAGGGAAGAAATGGACTGATGCGGTACGGGGGGATGAGGGAACCGAGTGTCCTTTCGGAAGGCCGGTGTCAAGATCGGCCTCTATGGAGGAATGCTCGTGAAGGATGCTACTGGGTAGTTGGATAGAGGCAGTCGCCCTCCAACAACAACGGAGGGCAGAGGAGCGACCCCTACAACGAGCGGAACGCCGTGCGGATAAAATACAGCAAGTTGGCACAGTAGGGGGCACAGTCATCTCAGTCAACCGATGACACTTGGGTCTGTCCCGCGACCTGTCTGCGAGCCTTCGACACTTCCACCATGTGGCCGGTTTCGATAATTGTCACTGGCAACGCCAGTGACGATTATCTAAACCGGTCCCCGGCCTCCCCTAGATCGGCTCAAATGAGTACCTGGTGCAGTGTGTAAACATCGCCACTAGGGAGACAAAGACGGTCTGGCGTGGTGCTGGCCACCAACCCCCTCGGTCTTCATAAGTGCTTGCTAAAAGCACTTGTCCCTACAGTTTGTTAATGCTATACGGGATAAATTTGTCTTTGTGCAAGGTGTATATTCAGGTGCGTGAGTTGGTGCAGGTGCGCGGGTGTGTGCAAGTGTGTGCGAGTGTGTGAGTGTGTCCAAGTGTGTGCAAATGTGTGCGAGTGTGTGCAAGTGTGTGAGTGTGTGCAAGTGTGTGCGAGTGTGTGCAAGTGTGTGCGAGTGTGCAAGTGTGTGCGAGTGTGTGAGTGTGTCCAAGTGTGTGCAAGTGTGTGCGAGTGTGTGCAAGTGTGTGAGTGTGTGCAATTGTGTGAGTGTGTGCAAGTGTGTGCAAGTGTGTGCGAGTGTGCAGTGTGTGCGAGTGTGTGAGTGTGGCAAGTGTGTGCGAGTGTGGTGTCCAGTGTGCAAGTGTGTGCGAGTGTGTGCAAGTGTGTGAGTGTGTGCAATTGTGTGAGTGTGTGCAAGTGTGTGCAAGTGTGTGCGAGTGTGCAAGTGTGTGCGAGTGTGTGAGTGTGTCCAAGTGTGTGCAAGTGTGTGCGAGTGTGTGCAAGTGTGTGAGTGTGTGCAAGTGTGTGAGTGTGTGCGAGTGTGCAAGTGTGCGCGAGTGTGTGCAGGAGTGTGGGAGGCAGTAGTGTAGCGGTTAGTGCGCTGTGCTACGAACCCGGTGACTCGAATTCGATTCCCGCTCATGGCCAACAGCAGTGACGATTATCTGCACTGGTCTTGGGTATCCCTTAGGTCTACTCAGCCTCAAATGGATCACCTGTTGCAGTGTGTAAAGATCGCCACTGGGGAGACAAAGGCGGCCGGGCGTGGTGCTGGCCACCCACCCCCTCGTGTGCCGTGCCGGCTTTAATTGGTGCTCGCTAACAGCACTTGCCCAACAGCATGTGTAGGCTATTATGGAGGATCTTTGTCTTTGTGCGTGGCAGTGTGTGTGTGTGTATGTTAACCTTACAGTATTTCTCGCACACGTGGTATCGTGTTCATTGCTGTGTTGTTCTCGTTCTTGCTACGTGTGTTGTAATTAATGTCGCATCGTGAAGGTGCGAGACCTGTCCTCGTCTTTGCAGAAGACGGAATGATGAATCAATGATGGAATAAATCATGAATTTGATTATTAAAAAAAACCCTCAAACTCCGATTCCTTCATTCGTCATTCGTTTACCACCACACGTGTCACGGGAACTGGCGGTGATGATGAAAGTTAAGATGATGGTGTTATAGTGATGATGATGATGATAGTGGTGATGACGCTGTCGGTGATGATCGTTTTCTCTCATTTCTATTTGCTTCATAATTATTATACTGGAATTAGGTTTTATGGTGTTTTCTTTTATAGTCTCGGTGACCCAGGTCGCTTGAAATTTTGCCTGGTTAAATAAAATCAACTTAAGCTCGCTCACTCACTCACTCACTCGCTCAACCATCCATCCAGCCACAATATGTTCAGGAGGTAAATGCCAACCAATGTGGAGGTCTGCTCGCCACGAGAGGGCTTCAGGAGAGAGAGAGAGTTCATGTAACTTTGCTACACTTTGTGGACAATGCGCAAACTCCTGCAGAAAATTGCTGCACTTCAGTTGGCGGTCGACGTTCCACCCCCCGTGATAATTGGATCAAACAAATCACTGGAGACACAAGAGGTCACCCATTTGGCGCAACGGTCCTTCGTTGACTCTGCGTGATGAATGAATGAATGATATTTTCACCGTCGAAGGAGCGTGGTTTACGATGTGGTCCAGAGTTAGGGTTGCATGGTCACAATCGGACTTCTGCGAATTGGCTTTCATTTTCCAGAGACACTGGGCTATTGGGAAGAGGAGTGCCGAAATCCCGCAAGATTGCATTGTCCTGCTCGCCTTTTGGCGTTCTCTGGTCTGGCTGCATTGGTGAGACTTGGCCACACTGAAGGCTGTCTCTGGTACAGAGGCCAATCCATTTACAAGACAATGCGAGTATATGATCAGAGCATGTTTTGATTCAAAGCTTTCGTGACTTGCAGGGATTCATATTCTTGGTTCTTTCGGTAAAGTCACGTAGAAGGTAAATAATAAAATAATAGAAATATAGAACAATAAAATTTTCTTGCTGTGGATTTCACACCTGATGATGATTGCTTGTGTTGCAGTCGAAACGTCGCGAGGATTTTTATTGTTTTATATTTATATTATTTTATTATTTCCCTTCTACGTTACTTTACCGAAAGAACCAAGAATACAGAGCATGTTTGTTTGTATGTTCACGACAGGTACGTGGGTTATTGCGAACTTGATTCCTTGCAAAAGGTTTCTATTTGGTGTTTGAACATCTTAAACACCGTTGTATTGCCAGAAAAAGGTCAAACCGATTGTGATGTTTTCACAAGATTTAAGTGATGTTAAGAGGAGGGCGGATTGATGACCTCACGGGACATTGTCGGCAGTGAGGAGACGGGGGGGAGGGGGCGATTGCGTCACGCGACACTGGTGAGTTGAAGCAGAGGGGGTGATGACGTCACGCTAGATTGAGACGCGTTGGTGAGGATGGGGGGAGGGGGGGTGACGTCCCGAGCCGTTGGGGGTGGTGAGGGAGTGGGTCGATGACGTCACGCGACATGGGTCAGGTGAACGACAGGGGGTGATGACGTCAAGATACGCGGGAGTGGTGGGGAGAGGGGGCTGGTTGACGTCACGCGACATTGGTGAGGTGTAGGAGTGGGACTGGTGATTCAAACGTACACATTCGCCATCCGCGGGTTCACGCTCGTGTTATTATTATTCCAGGTATTTTTCGTGACGATGACGACGATGGTGGTGGTGGTGGTAACGTCACTGGTGAAGATGACGAATCCTATTCCGATAGGAAAGTCTCCGCGCCCACGTGCGCCCTTTGAGAGCGCGTCACGCCACGGCACCGGGAGCTGTTGTTGAGGTTTCCTGGCGAAACCCAGGGTTTATTTTCAGCTGTACACCCCGAACCCCTATTCGCCAGGCCTCTCCTCTGGCCACCACGTGGTGGTTGTTTTCGAAAAGAGGCGACCCCCAGTGTGAGGGGTGGGGTGGGGGGCAAGGAGATCCCTAGAGTCCCCCCTTTTCATCATCATCATCGACGCCTCCTACCTGTTCAACTCGTTTGCCCCAAGGAGCTCCCGCCCGCATCCCCGTCTCGCTCACTCGCTACTCGGAGGCAATGCTCTCGCTTGACGCGGGTCACCGCAGAGTCATTCACACAAAGCCTCGCAGAGCTTTACAAAAAGTAGTAACCAGATCCCTTCGCCCAGTCTTACTCGCTCATTTTTCAGAGCGGGGGTTGACGGCATGATGGGTCGTGTTCACATTTGGGTTATTGTCGGGGGCCGCACGTGGCGCGCGGGCCTCGCAATGATGAACAACACCGCCCTCGCCGAACCCCTAAACAAGTAACACTGAATAGAACCCTTAGGGGCCGTCCATAAATGACGTCACGCACCTAGGGGGGGGGGGGTCAGACATTTGTGACGATGTGACGAGGGGGGGGGGGGGTTTGAGAAATGTGACGTCACATCAAAATGCGCAACTTTAAATAAATATAGACAACACGTTCTACTTAATTAAATAGACTTTTTAGTAAATGTTTTCTCCTCCAACATCAGAGTGCAGCGACACATTAAATACGCACTACATTGACAATAGTTTAAAGCGTTTTGAAGCATGTTTTATTTGGGGGGGGGGGCAGAGCTTTGTGACGTCATATTTGAGGGGGTTGTCTAACTTTTTGTGACGCCGTGTGACGAGGGGGGGGGGGGGCAAAAATCGTCCAAAATCGCGTGACGTCATTTATGGACGGCCCCTTAACCACAGCTATCGGCCACTTGGTGAAACACCGTGGCCTGCGCTCCTTCAACGAGAGGAGGAGGAACAGCAAAGCGACTCGAACCCTCTCCCCTGCAGCACACCCTCGTCGCGGCCAGCAGACCTCAACATTGGCATCGACCTCCTGCCATGCGCAAGGATAGGTTCCATAAAACCCTTTCAAAAATACAACTCTCGTACAAACGAAAAGGATAAACAATGCAAAAGGCACGTTACCTACACAGACGGGCGGGGCGCCGAGTGAAATCAGATCTGTTTTAAGACGAGACCTGCGAGACTCAGCCGACTGTGTCCCCTGATGTTCTGGGGAAGAGCGCTCGTCCACAGACGAGGAGGAGGGAGGTCTGAGCCAGGATGTCCCAAACTCCAGGCCTCACGACTCACCCCCCTAGCACATCAGACTAAGTCCTTCCGCATTCACTAATTTGCTCATCCCCATTCAAAGACAATAACAATTTACTCATCCCACGCCGTACGCGCCCTATGATTGTTAACCACGTCCCACGTGACGCGCTAAGCGATCCACGCTGTCTGCATCACGTGGAACAGGTGTACACGCACATGTGGAACACGTGCACACACGCGCGCGCACACTGAGATCTCAATCGTAATATGAATATGCTCCAATATAGCGGACAGCGTTAATGTCTTGACTTGTCACGTGGGACGTGTTTAACAATCATCCGGCGCGTGCAGCGTGGAACGGGTTAATCAGGGCCAGGGTAGGGGTCGACGACCAAAACAACAAGAGCCTTTTTTTCGAAGTCGGTAAAAAAACTAAAAATATTTTAAGAGGCGTAGTGCAAGTGGTCCTTAATAATAACGTCACGAAACAGTACTTAATGATCCGCCCATAGTAAAATTGACTTCCATGGTGAACTGGACTTCCATGGTAAATTGGACTTCCATGGTAAAACTGGACCTCCACGGTGAACTGGACTTCCATGGTGAACTGGACCTCCACGGTGAACTGGACTTTC